TATATGTATATGTATATGTATATGTATATGTATATGTATATGTATATGTATATGTATATGTATATGTATATGTATATGTATATGTATATGTATATGTATATGTATATGTATATGTATATGTATATGTATGTATGTATGTTGCTATTGTTACATTAAATTACCCACACCAAGTAAGTCCAAATATCTGGTTTTTAAATTATACCCACATGGGCGGAATAAAAATCTGACACATAAAATAACTACAATTCCTGATCCTCAGATGTCAGAATCAAAGGGTATGCCTTAGAACAGTGTTTCAATTTAGGATAATCACATATGTTATTACTGCTGCCATGGAAAGCAGAATAGAGTCCAAATGATTAATATCAGCGGGAGATGCTAACAGGGCCCTTTCTGTCTGATAATAAATCCGTTTTGCCTAGGGATACATTTGCTCTGCATAAGAAAAGAGCTGAGTGCTGGAATGATTAGAATCTTGCACAGGGGAATAATCTGAGTATATTCAGCAAGTGATGTTTTAGTTATTATGATCATTATCATGTGGCAGTTCTGGTCATTTGAATCTTCTATACTGGCACACAGTCAGTCATCACCTTAGAGTTGTTACTGTCAACAGGAAAAAAAAACCAAAGCAAATTATACTGAATACTGAAAAATGTGGTTTGTCTTTCAAAGCTTTCAGAAGAGATTCTACATAGCTAGACCTGAAGTAGGTGTCTTAACATTATTTAAATGTGAATGACCTAGAGATTTGTTTGGGACTCTGTACACATTTTGAGATATATAATTCCTTCAGATATTATGGTCTTTCTGCTTTTTGATTAAAGGGTTGATATTTAATTGTTAATCCCTCTTTCCGGTGTTCCCCCATCCTCAGTTGCACACATTTTATTAAAGCAAACTAATGAAAATAACCCCAGTTTAATGGGAAATTGTTGACCCGCCCTCTCTCTTATAGATCAAATTCCTAGTGTTACCATTTCTGGCTTAGTATAGATAGCAGCATCTGGCTGACTGAATAATCTTCAAAAGCATAAACCTGGTTAGTTTTTGGATAATCATAAAAAAGAATCAGAGCAGGAAACTAGATGTAAAATTCAAAAAAATTCATATTTTTGCTAAGAAAACAATATGAATAAATCCATGTGGTCCTCTGGAGTGAATTTGATAAAGAGAAACATGTTTTTTTTAAAAAAGTATTCACTGATATTTTGAGAGTATTTACTAATAATTGCTTTCAATTGCATTGCATATTTTATTTTTAAATACACCTCAGTCACTAGTGTTGCAATTTTTCGGGGGGGGGGGGGGGGGGGGGGATTTTTTATTCTAAAATTTTTTTAAAAATGAATGGTAATCTATATTTTCTTTTTAACATTTTGTTGTTGTGTTCTTCATTCCAGATAGCCAGCTTGGTGTCTGCAGAGCAATTTCAATTGTACAAGCAGTTGAAATTTGAAAGAGGTAAAATTTTTTTACATTAATATGCAGGGGTTCAGATTGCATTGTTAAATTCACAAAATGGCAAAGAAGATGTCTACTCAAAAATAAGTCTCATTTAGTTCAATGACACTTAACCTTGCGTAAATAGTTATAGAATTGCAGCCTAAGATATAAATTATATATATTTGCTAGCAGAGAAAACCAGAGAAAAGGGGGAAGAAAAGAGAAAAAAGTCAGTTGCTCTCCCAAGCTCAAAATCTCTGAGCTTAACATACCATAGTCCAAATCTCAGTCCTAAAACCAAAGAATATATAGCTTTACTGCTATAGATTTACAATGATAAAAGATTTACAATCCTTAATGAACCAATGGGATTCATTCTGAGAAAAGCGCTTTAGTGCGCACAGTCTGCAGATCAGATTAAGGAAGAAGATTGCCACTCATCCCCTGATCAGAAATCATAACATTTCTCTGATGCAAAGTGTGGCTGATGGCAGCAGGGTTATGCCAAGAGATTTGTAGACTCTTCATGGGAATCATCAGGGGCTCATAACCATGTGCAGGCATACACACACTTTCTACTCGCATGTATGTGGGTTTTTTGCCATAGGAAAAATGTAACCCTTGTGGTCCGTTCTTCATAGTGTTGAATGCTCTTTCATTGCCCGGTGTCCATTGAAATGGGGAGGCAATAAATTTAAATAAATTACTCATAATAAGGCATTTGAAAGATTAAGGCATAAACTGACAGTGGTGGTCCCAGTGGTTATCAGCACACTGGATGCCATACCAAAAGGTCTTGGATGACTCTTAGAAAATCTGCATCTTGACAAATTTTTCATCTGTCAATTACAAAGGACTACACTGCTTGGATCCATGCATGTACTACGCCAGTTCATTAGAACATCCTAGGTTCTTGGGAAGATGAAGGCCAATATCAGCTAAAGAACTAGCAGCAATATTTATAATAATAACATTTTGTTATTAATAATAACATTTTATTGTCAATGTTTTAAAAACGTAAAATTGCATTCCTCTATTTCTTACATAACGTAGTCCAATAGACTAGAAATAGAATTTCCCTTTGCAGGTTTTGCCAAGCTAGAATTCCTGCCATGATGCTCTAGTAATTCTTTCTCATGTGAAATGAATTACCGGTACATGATTTTTTTGAGGATGCTTGCAGGATCCAGACCACAGCTGGGTAGATTCTGATGTAATGAAAGAACAATCCCTGATTTGTTTCCTGTAGGGTGTTGGATATTCAATTACTTTTCAGAAACAACCTCACATTTCCTAACATACTGGACAATAAGGAAACTCATGCTAGGAAAATCAGTCATTTTTTTTTCCATCTTACACTGAGGGTATATTCATAGTTGTCAAACTGGAGGCCTGCAGGCAGGATGTGTCACGCGCAGACCATGCCCACCCCGGCTTGGCAAAGGCAAAAAATGTCACGCTACGTCATGTGACACGATCAAGTTTGACTCCCGTGGCTTAGATGAAAACAAGATAGGCAAGATGGATAAGAAATGTTCTCTTTTTCTAAAATATGCTGGTAGATATAAACCAAATCATATCCCATGTTTATAACTTTTGTTTCTTTTCTGATTGTATAAATCTTTCACCTTTTTAAAAACTTACGTTTTGATCTGTAACATTCCCCAGAAGTGTACTTGGATCCACTGAGGACCTGGTGTCCCTCTGCTAATTGTCAGACTGTGTGCCAAATTGAACCAAGCGACTCTGGATTACCAGTGCCTATAAAATGTCAGACGTGTTACTTGACATTCTGTTCATCGTGCAAAGAGCCTTGGCACGTGGAGGGATCATGCTCAGAAGGCCATTTGATGGGGATTGCAAGTGAGCAAGGGTAAGAGAAGAAACTGTCTAGCTCTTGCAAAATCTTTATATCATTTAAATCGTTATAAATACTATATTTCTTTAGCAAGAAATTACATTTCTGACACTGCTTCAATAATGCAATTAATTAATTGTTTGCTAGCTGAAGGGAAGACATTCTATGCTTTGACTGAGGCACCTGAAGTATTTGATGTGCTGTTTCATCATTCTTGATTCTGGAAGGTCTGTTCCAGCTAGACTGGCTTTTTGTCAGCCCAAATGGCAGATTTAGGGATCAAGGTTAGCTAGACAATATAGCAGTTTCTTGGTGGGCATTTCTTGGTGCAATGGAAGCTGTTGCCTGGGCATAACTTCAGCAGAGTAAATACAGGGAATTAGTTAAGGGCTGTTTTGTACCTTATGAGGAAGCAAGGATGAGAAATATATTTTACTTTCATATCAACTGGTTAACACAGAATACTAAAGCAGAAATATTTTCCCAGTGGAGGAAATATTTGAATGCCAACATTGTCCAAACATTAAATACAACAACAAAATAAATGGGGGTCCGTCTGTTATTTTTGCACGTGTTTGCAAAAGTTGAATAATTGTTGCATAAGGGAAGTGCTTTTCTCCAGATGAAGCACATTTACATGGGTTAATATTGTTCTAGGCCAGGGGTCTCCAACCTTGGCAACTTTAAGCCTGGAGGACTTCAACTCCCAGAATTCCCCGGTCAGCTTTTCTTTGGAGACCCCTGTTCCAGGCAATGTGCTTCAGTTCAGTCTGAATGATTAGGAAATAGCCAGGATACCCTTAAGTCTGTTTCAGAGGGGTTTTTCCCCCCCTTTCCCTTTTCTTTTCTAGAACACTTATTAAAAACAACTCAGAAGCTCTAATTAAACAATGTCCAGTTTGTCGGATCCATATTGAACGGAACGAAGGCTGTGCTCAAATGATGTGTAAAAATTGCAAGCACACATTTTGCTGGTACTGCCTACAAAATTTGGATGTGAGTAGTCTCTGGCAAAAAGGTTTTTCTCTATAGTTGTTTCATAGTTCTAGATAGGAAGAACCGATGCTTAAAATGATTAACTTTCCATGATTGCATCTCATCGTTTCCTTCTGTTTTCTTTTGAATTCTGCATCCAAATCTTATGGCAGCAGATCTCAGACATATAACATCTGATAAGGTTAAATGGAGTTTTGCAAATGATACACCTTCCTTTTTGTTCAGCTTTACTAGAACTTGCTCCTCATTTCCCAGTGATTCTTTTTCCTGCCTTATAAAACCTAACTTTATAAAATGTGCACTGAGCAATTGCTTCATAGAAGGTTAATTGGTGTCAAAGTGTTGGTGACAGTAATTTTTGTGAAATCCCAAGTTTATAAAATAGAGCTGGAGGAAGCCTAAAACCTCATGTTGCCACTTTATTACCCAAGAAGGTTGAACTTATACATGACGGCGTATTATTTTGCCTTTCAGAATGACATCTTCTTAAGGCATTATGACAAAGGTCCCTGTCGAAATAAACTGGGCCATTCACGAGCCTCAGTTATGTGGAACAGAACACAGGTATGCCAATAACATGGATTTGTGTTTATTATAAGTCAGTTTGGTCTTGTGGTTTTAAAGCAGCAGGCCGGAAATTGGGAGACCCTGAGTTGTAGTCCCACCTTAGGCATCAAAAGTGACTGATTGACTTTGCGCCAGTCACTCTCTCTCTTAGCCCAATTCACCTCACAAGATTGTGGGGAAAATAGGAGAAAGAAGGAGTATTCGGTATGTTTACAGGCTTGAGTTATTTAAAATAATTAAAATTTAAAAATAATAAAAGGCAGGATAAAAATAATCAAAAAATAAGCTTCGGTGGTGTGTAGCAGGGGTGTCACTCGATTTCATTGAGGGCCATATCAGGGTTGTGTTTGACCTCGGGGGGCCAGGGTGGATGTGGCTGGGATAAGCGGGCCCCATTTTTGCAGGCAGAGTGCTGCAGGATGCCCTCACGGCTGAAAACGGAGCCCAGGGGGCCATGCGTTGGTCCCCTGAGCCCTATTTTCACTGGCAGAGGGTTGCAGGAGACCATCACAGCTGAAAATGGGGTTCGAGGGGGCTGCACATGGCACCCCAAGCTCCATTTTCGCTGGTAGAGGGATGCAGGAGGCCATCATGGCTGAAAACGGGGCCCTGGAGGGCCGTGCATGGCCCTCCCAAGCTCTGTTTTCACTGACAGAGGCACCACAGGCCAGTTCTTTGTATCCAGCCCACAGGCCTTGAGTTTGACACCCCTGGTGTATAGATATAAATATAGGGTTTTCATAGATATAGTGTTTTCCTTTTTAATTTCTTATTTCTTCTTTTCAATATTTAGGTTGTTGGCATCCTAGTAGGCCTGGGAATCATCGTTTTGGTAACATCTCCATTACTTCTCTTAGCTTCGCCGTGCATCATTCCCTGCATCTGCAAATCCTGCCAAAGCAAGAAAAAGAAACACGGCCCACCACCAACATAAAATGTTCTGCCTATTTTGGATGTGAATGTCTATTGTGTTTGTCAGGAAGAAGACTAACGGTTGACATCTTGCACTGTGCTTTACTAACCAATGCTCCTTTGTTTTGCCAACTTCTGTAAAAAGTGCCTACTGGTTCACAGGTTGCCACTTTATTTGCAAGCTGCAGTTCAGGGGGGTGGGGGGTGAGGGGGTATTTGTTGTGATCTGGGTTAATTCTGTTTTTTCATTTTTTTAATGGAGCCAGACTTGTAAGATATTTTAAGGCGTTTCAGAATGACTGCTTTGTTGAAATCAGCACATGAAATTACAGCTGTTCAATAGATTCTGAATGGCTATTGATTTTCAGAAACCTTGATACTATATCTCCTGAAGAAATTGTGCAGTTGAGTAAGAAAATAAAATGTGTAATCCCCCAATTTTAAAAGAAAATGTTGGTTACTTAAAATGTTAGATTTCTAGTGCAGACTTAGTGGCGGTTAAAAAAAAAACCTCAATTCTTTAAAGTTATTGTACAACTTTTTTTTTTTTTTTTAAAAACTATAACTAAAAAGGGGGAAACCATAAAACTCAAGTGTTGAAAATCACTGATAGATCATCTTGCCAATTTACATTTTTTTTCAAAGGCAAGTCAGGTCAAATAATTTATTTAAAATAAGTTCTACTTGGCTACAGCACCAAAACCAATAATATGAGTCTGGTCATACATTGAAAGCATAAAATGTTGAGCAGATCACCCTATTTGTATCACCCTGGCCTATAAATTAATTATTTCCAAACAGTTGATAAATCTGGAGTGCTAGTTGAGATGCTAGCTTTGGTCCAGAAGTTGGAAGTGTAGCATAACTGACCTGAATGTGACATAACTGCAAGGGTGGGAGTCTACCAGATTGGACTACTTCGGACGAACCATTAGTTCCGGTGACTGTCTGGCCCCGCCTACCCATCCCTGCTCTTTGCTGTGCTTTATTTCCTGGTTTTTTAGCACACCTGATTTGCGCGACAGAGCAGTTTGCCGTGCCTCAGCTGTTTCAGTCACCGGGGCTGCAGTAGAAGGTAAGTAATTCAGCTGAAAATGGGCTTTTTAAAACGTAGAGCATGCGTGTGAAGCACGCGTTCACCGAACCGATTGTTATACCGGTTGAATCGCACCATTGCATAACTGGGTCTTTATTTTTCTCTAGATTTCATTATTACTATCTTATTCTTCATAGCTGAAGTTTAGCAGAGGAATGAAAATGATATTGAGACATAAGGAGTTTGATCATCAGTTGGGAACAACTGAACTTGCCAAAATGTTTGCCTTTGTAGACATACTGTTCAGTAAAGAATAATAAACCAAGGATATGATCCAAATAAATATTGTTGCAACAGATAGTAGCCATTTTGTTGAGCTAGGGAGAAATTGTGAAAATAACACAGTGTTCTCTGAACAAATGTTTGTAAGTTGTGGACGACTTGTGTATCTAAAACAAAACTGTGAAGATAACATACAGCTCAAAACAAGTTCCACATGAAAGCATAATTAATAAATCTAATTTTCAGATGAAGTAACTACTTGCCCATGTTGGAGTATCTATTATCTTAAAACAGATCTTCAGCTAGTGTGAAACCAAAAAAAGGCACGCCTTGAAAACATTGGAAAAGAACAAAGGATGATGGAGAATATGCAGCTCTGCAGTCTTGGTTACAAGAAAATATTTCTCTATTCTGATCATGCCTTCATTCACCCCACCCCATTCTATAAGAAAAGGTGGCATTACATAGATAAGTTTATGTATTCTGTGGTACATAATCAAATACATCAAGGGAAGCCATGTATGTTTCATAATGCTCAAAATGTTGTCTAATGTCATAATATTGTCTGGACTTCTACAAGAATGTTTTTTTTTTAATAAGCTTAAATTATTGGATCATTTACTGTAGAAATAAATTGCCATATCATCAAGGAATGTCTTAGTTAATAGAATATTTTGTGATTATATTATCTCACATATTCCTTATAAAACAGCAATATTCTATCTAGCATGGTGACTGGGGAATTCTGGGAATTGAAATCCACATATTTTAGGATTGCTGAGGTTGAGAATCACTGAACTAGAACTACCTGACTTGTATGCACCTATTTTTTTGTTATCTAGCTTGATAGTAAAATATAAGCCTTAGAACCCTGGCCAGTGTAAAAATTTAATAAGTAATAATAATTAGGACTTGAATCTTTAGTATCTGAATGAAAAGGGAGAGGGCAAAGGAACCACAATGAAGGACTAGTTCTCCTACTGTAAATTTCTATTTACATGTCCCCAGTTCTTTTTAGAATTAAAATTGATGAAATTTATAGGAAATCAATATGACAAAATGTTGACCAGAAAACAGTAGCTGATTAGATTGAGGATGTGTATTTCTTTTCTTAATTTTTCTTTGTGTAAAACTTGTTAACATGAATAAATAAAACTTATTTTGACAAAAAGCTATTGTCCCTCTACAGGAAAGGGGTTTTCACTGTTTTAAAGCCTATTGCTGTTTTCAATAGACATCTGAATAATTTTTCTATGCATTCAGAATTAAATGGAAAATAGCAGGAAATAATGGGCAAAAGTGCGTGCTTTTATTTCTACTGTGCATTCTCTCAGGTAAAGAATGGCAAATGGATATTATAGAAAATATATTCAGGTTTGGGGGGGAAATTAGACATCCTGCAGACATTCACAGAGGTTATCATGCTAATGAGGGATTTCAAAAAGGAGATAATTGACTGTTGATGTTTATTTAAGCTAGCACAATTTTATTATTCTCTTAGTGTAATGAAGGTACAAGGCTATGATTTTTTAAAGGATTCATTAGAAACTGTGCAGGAAGAAAGTGCAAATGTTCTAAGTTATTTAATGATTCAGCATTAGAAGTTTTTAAAAACAGAAGTCTGTATTTTCTTTCTTTTCCCCTATTTTTAAAGTCATAGCATACAATATGTGCAAAATCAAAAATTCAGCAAAGCTTGGCTTCAGCAAGCAGCTTTTAAAAGAGACTGTAAATATTTAGCTTTGTTATTAGAAGACATTTCAGTATGATCACATATAAGTATCACCAAGAGAAGAATGCAGAAAAGAGGGAAAGTAACATTTGTCTTGTGAATTTAGCAGCATACTTCAATAGTTCAAAAAGCATCGAGACCCAACTCCATAACTTCTAGTCTAGACAAGATCAGCAAGAGGAACCTGTTTATGGTTACTTGACTGAGTAGTTTATCTCAATTGGTGGAATGGAAGACAGCTCACTGATGTGCTTTAGGTACAGATAGTGCTTGACTTAAAACTATTTGTTAGCAACCATTCAAGCTTAGAGAGGCACTGTAAGAAGTTACTTATGATCAGTCCTTGCACTTACAACTGTTGCAACATCCCTATGGGGCACACGATCACAATTTGGGCGCTTGGCAATTGACATATATTTATGATGGTCACAGCACCTTGGGGGTCATGTGATTGCCATTTGCGACCTTCCCAACCAATGGTGCATTTCAAACATTTTTACCACTGGTTCAGTGGGCGTGGCTAAATGTACACTTTGCACAGGCACAGAGGCTTTCCGACTCACCTCCTGCAATCCTGCACTCTCCCTGTCGCTTCAGCAGCTGTCGCGTGGCACTCTGCTGTGCTGCACAAAGCAGCTGTGCTCCAAAAGCAGGGAATAAAGGTTAGTATGGGAGCCCGGGTGGGTGGGTGGGCCCAACAGAAGAGTGTCGGAGAGAACTGGTTCAGTTTCTGCTGCTCATCGGCGCTAACGGCTACCAGTGTTCCAGGGGTGGGATTCTACCAGTTCTCACCTTTTTGCTAGAACCAGTTGTTAACATTCTAAGCAGTTCGGAGAACTGGTTGTTAGAAGAAATTACTGGTCTAATCCTGTAAGGAAGGCAGGAAAGAAACATTCTGGTGTTGCTTACAGTAACTGCCTCTCCGTTAACCCTTATTACATTCTTGGCAGGACTAGACTTCCTGTCTCAGGAATGTCTCTGGAGTTTTTTTCCCCTCCTTTACTGGTACTTTGCTTGTGTGGACTGACCATTCAAAGTTACAATGGCACTGAAAAAAGTGACTTATGACCATTTTTCATGCTTACGACTGTTGCAGCATCCCCACAGTCATGAGACGCCAGGCGAGGAGATGCGTGCCTCGATGTGAGTGATATTGAGTTGGCCACGCCCAGCCAATAACATGACCACCAAGCCATGTCCACCCAGTCAATGACCACCAAGCCACACCCACCAACTAAGCCATGCCCACAGAACCGGTTGTTAAAAATTTTGAATCCCACCCCTGCACTGTTCCCAACTGGCTTCCCACAAGCAATGTCAATTGTGGAACCCAGTTTCACTAAACAACTGTGTGATGCTCTTAACAACTGCAGTTATTCATTTAGCACCAGAAGCAACAAGGGTTATACAATTGGTTGTGACTGACTTAAGGACTACTTTGCATAGCACAGAAATTCTGGTTTCAATTGTGTTTGTAAGTTGAGGACTACCTTTTATCAACTGTCCTATTTTAAGCAACCGAGCTAAGAAGTTACCACTGTTATGTTCTTCTTATCTTGGTTGCTTTCCCATTCAAAGCAAACTAAATGATGTTACAAAGCAAAACTGTTATTGGCCTGGGAAACATTCTTCATTTCTGGCAAAAGAGAAGGCATTCTTGTACTGCACAGGTAGTTCTCAATTTACGATCACAACTGACCCCCAAATTTATCTTGGTAAGCTAGACAACTGAATTTTCCCCATTTCGCGACCTTTCTTACCACCGTTTTTAAGTGAATCACTGCAGTTGTTAAGTTGTAACATGGTTGATAAGTGAATCTGGCTTCCCCACTGATTTTGCTTTGTCAGAAGGTTGCAAAAGGTGAATGGTCATATGACCCCGGGACACTGCAACCCGTCATAAATATGAAGCAGTTGCCAAGCTTTAGAATTTTGATCATGTGACCATGGGAATGGTGCAATAGTAGTGTGAAAAATAGTCATAAGTCGGGGGACTTCCAGTTTGTCGGCTTCGCGAGCGGCAGGGATTTGCGAAGCTGCGCAATCCCTGCCGCGCTAGCCGTTTTTGGGGCTCCGATCCGGACGGGTACGGAGCTAGGCTGCCCTGCAGGGGCAGCTGAAGGTAGGGGGGGATCCGGAGAGGGGTTTGGGGGTGTTGCAGACCCCCTCCCCGGCCGGCAGAACCCCCTTTTCCCAGGACGGTGCAGCGGTGGTCCGTAATGGCCGCCACAAAGAAGCTGGCAGCCGGGTAAGAATGCGCAGGAGGAAGTGGAGAAAGTGCTTGAAAGGAGAAAGTTTTTCTTGGTTCCTAGGACTCTAAGACATATTTAACAAAATTCCTGAAAAGTATGACTTGCTGAATGATACCTTCGAGAAGAGGAAAAAAGCGGCAGTTTGATGGTGCTGAAAGGATAGCTTACCCTCTTTTTCTACGGAATAAAAAGTGAATATTAAGAAACCTATTTTTTTTTAGGTGAAAACTGGCTCTAAGCGATGAGTGGGAAAAGAGAGGACTAAAAAAAAAAAATATTTGTATGCTAAGACTTTGTTGGAGGAGATGCCTTAAGGATTGAAAGACTAAAATATATTGCAATAAGATTTTAAGAAATAGATTTGGACTTTCTTTTTTTCTGATTGATACTACCCTAGGAGGAGAGAGTGGGAACTCTGTCTTGGTTTGGACTGATTGATAACTTTGGGATTGTTTTATTTTTCCTTTGGAATATTTTGGTTGTTGTAAGAGAAAAGAAAAGAAAAGATTTATAATGGCTCCTTCTATTGAGGAACTGAGAAGGGACTATGAGCAAGCAAAAAAAATGGTAAAGCTGGTTTGAAAGAAGCCTGTCTTTTTTTGGAAATGGCGCTCATTAACTATCAACAAACATTGCAACAGATGAAGACAGCAGAAGAAGAAGAAGGAGAGGAAGCCATCTTTAATAAATCTCAGAACTCGACCAAGAGGGAAGGAAGAGGGAAAGGAAGAGAAATAAAGGACTTAAGATTTAAAAAAACATTTAAGAAAGGGAAAAATAAGGTGCAAAATCAATATAATGATGGTAAACAAAAGGGAAGAGGAATACGACAGAGAAGGGAAGCCAGTAAGGCAGAGGCTAGAAGAAGGGGGGGGGGGGGTAGAAAGGTTTGGATTGGGTATTGGGTGTTATTTTAAAGATTAACTTGATTAATTTAGTGGGGAGATAGAAAGGCATCATACTCTGATTAGTGATTTCAGGAGAAATTTCTTTCTTTTTTATAAGGAATGAGACAAAGGTACAATAAAGAATGGACAAAAGATACAAATATAATGACTCAAATTAAGATGATTAATTAAGATAGAATTAAAAAGAGTGAAATATGGGGAGAAGTTAATATAGAAGACTTAGAATGGTAAATAAAATAAGTAATGATATGTAATATGAGCATGAATACAGTTGAAGTCCATGAAGAAAGAGATACCTGGGTCCAAGTTACTTTCCAAAAAGATTTTTTTTTATGTTTTGTGTGTTGTGTATATATGGTTTTTTTTGGGGGGGAGAATTAATGAAACCTTGCAGAAATATAGAATGAGAATAATGGTAACTAAGTCAGAAAGAAATAGATGAAATAATAATAATAAAATGGAATAAGAGTAAAGAGAAATAAAGAGAAAATGGATAAGAGGTTTTCGTATGTTTATATGGAAATGGTTTAAAACAGAATTATAGTTCATCTGACTTGTTAAATTTATAATGGAAAAAGGTTTAAATATGTAATGGATAATGATGACTTGTGTGTTTTGAAAATTAATAAAACTTGTTTTTTTTAAAAAAAATAGTCATAAGTCCCTTTTTTCCCCAGTTCCGTTGTAACTTCAAACTATCACTTGTAAGTTGAGAACTAGCTGTATATCAACAACAAAACATGTTCAATACTGTCCACCCT